GGCCTCCGGGCCGCCCCCTTCCCCCCGCCTGCCTGTCTTCCCGGTCTTCGACCTGGGCTACTTCGTGGTCTCCATCCTCTACCTCAAGTACGAGAGAGGTGAGCCGACCAGGGGGCCCGGGGATGGGGATGGGGGGAACCGACCCTCTCCTCCCTCCCGCCGCCCCTCACCCAGCCGGCCCGGGTCTCCAGCCCTTGGACCGACCCCCGAGAAGGCGGCGGCGAAGGGGGACCGGGGCACAGCCGGCACCTGGTGGAGAAGGAGCTGAGGATGGGAGAAAGGAGGGGATGATGGATCAGTGGAAGGAAGGGAGCTGAGGATGGGCAGGAGGAGAGAGATGATGATGGAAGGGAAGGAAGGAAGCTCGTGATGGATAGAAAGAAGGAAGGAAAGAGTTGAGGATGGAAGGAAGGAAGGAAGGAGAGAGATGATGATGGAAGGAAGGAACCTACTGATGGAAGGAGATGAAGATGGAAAGCAGGGAGGAAGGAGCTCATGATGGATAGAAAGGAGGAGCAGATGATGGAAGGGAGGGAGGAAGCCGGCCGGCCTTTCTGCCCCCCCCCGGGGGTGGTGGTTTTTGTAATTCTGGGGCTCCGAGGATGGAAGGAAGGAAGGAACCTGCTGATGGAAGGAGCTGAAGATGGAAAGCAGGGATGAAGGAGCTCATGATGGATAGAAAGAAGGAGCAGATGATGGAAGGGAGGGAGGAAACCGGCCTTTCTGCCGCCGCCCCCCCCCGGGTGGTGGTTTTTGTAATTCTGGGGCTCCAGGAGACGATTTGAGGTTCCCAGTTCCAAAGGTGGAAGGAAGGAAGGAACCTGCTGATGGAAGGAGCTGAAGATGGAAAGCAGGGATGAAGGAGCTCATGATGGATAGAAAGAAGGAGCAGATGATGGAAGGGAGGGAGGAAACCGGCCTTTCTGCCGCCGCCCCCCCCCGGGTGGTGGTTTTTGTAATTCTGGGGCTCCAGGAGACGATTTGAGGTTCCCAGTTCCAAAGGTGGAGGGTGGGGAGGGGTGGTGGTGCAGCAGCACCTTCTTTAAAAAGAAACCGAGGGGTGGAGCCATCATCCTTCCCCTGCCAAATAAGCCTTGAGGCAGCTGGGGGCCCTGCGGGCTGGGGCAGGCGGAGGGACCAGGAGGAGAAACCTGAGCCCCCTCAACCCCACCCCACGGCTTGGAGGGACGGATGCTGCCACTGGTTCTCCTTGAAAGGGCAGGCTGGGCGCCTGGAAAGGCTTAAGGACCCATGAGCGACGCTGGCCGGGGTCATGGGGGGGCAGCTGCCCAGGGGGTTCACCCTCACCGGCGCTGGTAGACTTTTCTCGGACTGCTGGAAATTGGGTGTCACAAAGGCTTCTGCGAAAGGAAAACCCCTCCATCACAGAGTTGGAAGGGGCTCCCCTCCCCATAAGGGCCATCCAGTCCAACCCCTCTGCTCAAGGCAGGAACCCCGAATCCAAGCAGTTCGGACAGATGGGGTTCTTTGAAAAGGGCTCTCCTGCTTCCCGTCCATCATCCTCAGCTCCCCTCCCCATAAGGCCCATCCAGTCTGCTCAAGGCAGGAACCCCGAATCCAAGCAGTTCGGACAGATGGGGTTCTTTGAAAAGGGCTCTCCTGCTTCCCGTCCATCATCCTCTCTCCAATATGCCCGATCCTTTCCATCTTTCCTCCTTCTTGGTTTCCAGCCCCCCTAATCCTCCTCCCGGTGGCCCTCGCCTGAATGGGCTCCAGTCTGCCAGTATCCTTTTGGGGGTCCAGAACTGGGCCCTGGATTCGAGAGGAGGCCTCACCCATGCTGAACAGAGCAGAGGGAAGGCAGGGGGTGGGGGGACTGGCCGGGCTGAGGGAGTTGCCAACTTGTGATGATCGGTGTTCCTTACGGGTGCTTTGCGGAGGGCCAACCCTACGCCGTCAGCGGTATTTTTAGACCATGGCAGAGGTATTGCTTTCAGAAAGAAGGGAGGGCCTGGCGTTCCTTTCGGGGGCCCGTGGAAGAAGGAGCAGCTGCTCCGGAGGATTAGGTGTTGCTCGGATTGGGGACATGAACCGGCCGAATCCAGGATGCTGGACGAAGAGTGCTCTTACCCCAATTCGCGACTCTGGCCCTCGCCGGGGTTTCCCTAGTCACGTGCCACAGCTCCTGGTGTTTGGTCCTGGGTCAAGCATGGAAGAGGTAAAGTAGGACCCCCTATCCACTGGATCTGCAGCCGCTGGTTCATTTTTCCACTGCCTGAAAATACTACACAACACCCCCACCCCTCAAAAATAGGCATTTATATGTCTTTCCAGAGTGTATTTACCAGAACGGGCCACTGGAGGGAACCAGAGGTCGTGTTATGTGTAGCGTTGTCTCTTATCCGCATTGTTCAGCATCCGCTGGGAGGATACAAAATCTGGGCATTTGCACGTAACTCTTCGCTCTCCTCTCTTTCCAGGTGCTGTGGAGCTCTCTCGCAACAGCCCCATTGCCTCCTGGGTCTGTGCCATGCTGTACTGCTTCGGCAGCTACATCCTGGCAGATCTTCTCCTGGGGGAAGCCCCCATCGACTACTTCAGCAACAACACCAGCGTGCTGCTGGCCACAGCTGTCTGGTGAGCGCTAGCAACATCTGGCTGAGCCCCAGGCCTGTCCTTGCTTTGTGTGTGTGTGTGGGTGGGTGTGTATATATATGTCGCCCCGTAATTTTCTGGGACCTTCCGCCTGACTCCACCCAGACAAATGTGGCATAAATGTTACCCGGATTAAATTACAGTGGGACTCCTAGGGCATAACCATCCACTGATTCATGTATCCACTCCTCTGGAGGATTACCTTTCAAGGCCTTGAACAGGGCTGTCCTATCTCCCCTCCATCTTTTTTTCTCGAGGGTAAATGTGCCCAGCTCTGGCCATATTTCCTCCAAGGGCTTGGTTTCCAGTCCCTTCATCATTCTCATTGCCCTCCTCTGAGTTTGCTCCAATATGTCAGCATCCTTCTTGAACTGCCCTCCTCTGAGTTTGCTCCAATATGCCAGCATCCTTCTTGAAGAGAACTCAGGATGAGGCCTGACCACTTCCAAATTGGGGGGGGGGGAGGAGGACTCAGGATGAGGCCAGACCACTTCCAAATTGGGGGGGGGGAGTGGAGAGTCCCTTATGGGTTCTGGAGAGCATCGTCCCCATGGATCTTCCTCCTCCATTTATGAAAACTGTCTGGCATGGAAACACCAAGCGTCCCCTTCTGCTCTTCCAGGTACCTGATCTTCTACTGTCCCTTGAACCTCTTCTACAAGTGTGTCAGCTTCCTCCCCATCAAGCTCATTTTCGTGGCCATGAAGGAGGTGGTCCGGGTTCGCAAGATTGCCGCTGGGGTCCACCATGCCCACCACCATTACCATAATGGGTGGTTCATCATGGTCATTGTTGGCTTTGTCAAAGGTAGGCCCTGGGGTTTGGGGAGGGTGAACATCACCAATGGTTGGGCCTCTACCAGGTGGCTCTCTGTGCATGTGCAGAGACAATCTTCCCACAAGGAGTCGTCTCAGTTTAGTATGGACAGTAGATCCAGGAGCTACACTGCAAGGGTCTTTCTCTTCAGACTTAATTGGCTGGTTCTTCAATCCCCACCTTAAGCCAATGGATAATTCACGCTATGCCCAGTACCACAGGGAATATGTTGGTTTAGATTTTATATAACAGTAGCACCCCTGCTTCCATAATTTCACTTATCTGCATCTAGAATATTCATTAACAGAAAAAAAAACTAGAAATACATATTTTTATGCTGTATTTATTAGAACTGGCCACTAGAGGGAACCAGAGACCACACAATGTAGTCCTGTTGTTTATTTATACATACTGTAGCATGGTCTCTGGCTCCTTCCAATGTCCAGTTCTGGTATACATGTCAAAAATATATATTTTTTATTTTACCGTACTGGATATCTAGTGTTTGCTGTTAATCACGGTTTTCCGAACCGTGAGGGGACTTGAAACCAATCCCCCATGGATATAGGCTTCCTGCTATATTGATGACTCCCTTGAGAGGGGAAGGAGCTTTAAAAACGTTTCAGCCATGACATTTTCAAGTCTTCCTCTAAAATCATAGAGGTCTGGCCTGATTTTAATTCTTGTTCAGAGCAAGATTGCTGGAATTCTTAGGCTCAGGATACAATGATTGCCTTCACTGGCACGTCCACCCCCGTTGGTGTTCAAGAGAGAGAGAGAGAAAAGGGGCCGATTCTTCTTTCATTTTGCAGGTTCCGGGGTGGCCTTAATGTCCAACTTTGAGCAGCTGCTAAGAGGCGTCTGGAAGCCCGACACCAATGAGCTTCTTCACATGACATTGTGAGTAGAGAGAGAGAGGGCAGCTCGGCTCCTTCTGGGCTGCTGGAGCCGCTCCTTAGAACACACGGCTTGCAATTTATGTGCTTTAAGTATTGAACATGTAAACAAAGCGCTTTGAAATCCTTGGGGCTTCAGTTTGGAAAATGGCCAGTGTTCTGGGTCGGGAGTCGGGGTGAATCTCTGCTCCCAACGCCCAGGGAGTTCATTTTTCCCAACCTTGGGTCCCCAGATGTGCTTGGACTACGACTCCCAGAAATCTTGGCTAGCACAGCTCCTGGTGAAAAGGCTTCTGGGAGTCGCAGTCCAAGAAGATCTGGGGGCCCCACGTGGGGAGACACGGATGCAGAGGAATAAATATGCCGGCCTGGGAATCCAAATGGGGATATTAAGTCCGTCTGTTCAACAAGATACCTGCATGGAACAGGTATCCCCCACCTGCTCCAAATTGGGTTTTTCTTTTTTTCTTTTTTTCTTTTTACTCACCTGCGATGATGCTCTTTCTTCTTCCGCAGTCCGTCCAAAGCCAGCCTCTACGGGGCGCTGCTCTTCACCCTTCAGCAAGCTCAATGGCTGCCTATCTCGAAAGCCACCCTCATCTTCTTCTTCACACTCTTCATGATGGTCTGCAAGGTGAGCCTTTTTTGGGGTGCATCAGGCACTACGCCGGCCCTGCAAGGGAGCACCGAGGGAGCAGGGGCTGCGCCTCGCAGTCTGAACAAGCCCCAGACAAGGAAGAGCGTTCCTGTAAGAGAGAAATGAGGGAGAATCCGGGGTGGAGTAGGACTGGTGCTCGGAGCCCATCTCTTCCAGATACGGGGGTTGGGGGTCCTCCTGTATTTCCTCTTGATTGCACGAGGGACTCATTCATGCAAATCAGCCCAGAGCTTTTAAGAGATTGGAGCACACAGGATGCGCTAGAGCAGCTGGAAAGGGGAAGGAAAAGAGCGAGGAGTGGGGAAGAAATTGCTAGTGAAGGTAGCTCTGCTGGAGCCATGCCTCTGGACGGCTACAGCAGAACTACGTTCACAAGCTGCACACAAGACAAGCTGCCAGTTTCCACTTCTCTCCCTCCACCGCTGGTGGAGCCAAATGCACCCCCCCCCAAAAAAAGTCCCCTTGCTGTGCAAACGGTCGTTAACGGGACCCGTTCTTTCCCGGCCGTGTAGGTATTCATGACGGCCACGCACTCCCACGGCTCGCCTTTTGCCCTCTTCGAAGGCGCCACGTGCTCCGTCCTCTTCGGCTCCGCCACCAGTGGAGGCCACGAGGACCACCCCCACGATCATCACCACCACCACCACCCGGAGACGGCCCCTCCCTCGCCGCCTCTCCTGCCCGCCAAGTCCCGGGAGGAGCTCAACGAAGGCACCAGGAAACGGAAAGCCAAGAAAGCCGAATGAGCGTGAAGAAATCTGAGGATCTGGCCGGGAAAACAAGAAGTCAACAATGAAACAAAAATAATGGAGAAGCAACCACACGCCACACCTTGTGGTCGCTTGACCCTCCTCCCCGGGACATCTTACGGACTCAGTGGCAGAGCCGGGGGTGGGATCCGGGGGTACTTCAGCCCTGCCTGCTCACCCCACCTTCCTTGACCCCGGTCTTTTGTAACCTCCCCAAAGGAGACCGTCCTTCGCCGTGGGGCAGGCGGGCTTCACTGAACAGCCTTCTGTCAGGAGGGTGGGAGCCTGAGGGCAGGGGGGAAAATCATTTATGGGTAGTTCGATCCTTGGGTCGTTTATAGCTGCTAACCTTTCCGGGCTTAAGGTTTCGGAGAGCTGCCGGGTTTCCGTTGCCCAAACCCTGGAAAAAAATGTGAACAGGACCTGCGGACAAAAGCTGACAGTGCAGCTTCTTTGCCGGAATGACTCTCCTAGGGGATCCAGAAATGCCTTCCAGGGAATGTGACGCAAAAAGAGGCCACCGTTCCCCACAGACTCCCTTTTCCCGTTTCTCAATTACACACATGCACACATACCGGCAACAAAGCGGTCACCCACAACACGCCACGAGAAGGATGGCCGGACCGGTGGGTAAGAAATGGACCGTGTGGAAAAGGGTAAAGAATCCCACTGCCCAGTACTTCAGAGAGCTTGTTCTGGAAATAAGGGACAAGACAGAGTTAGATGACCGTAGGACCCCCTTATCTGTGGGATCGGTATCCGCTGACTCACTTTTCAGACAGTGGATAAATCCTAGAAATGTATATTTTTGTAAAGTTAAGTTATCAGAACTAGCCACCAGAGGGAGCCAGAGACTAGGCTATGTATAGCATCTGCTATTAAAATAGGGTTCATTATTATCCGCTTTTTTCAGCATCTGCAGGGGGTCATGGAACCTTGCCCCTGTGGATAAGGAGGTCCTACTGTATATGAATAGTGGAATGCCTCTGAGCATGCAAAGAGGACTTAGACAGTTCCCTCCCTTCAATCCCTGAATGCAGAGCGGCCGTAGGACCTTTGGCTGTAGTTAAGATTTTGCCCACTAAAAGCAAAAGCAAAGCGTGCTGCTTATATACCGCCCCATAGTGCTTTAAGCACTCTCTGAGCGGTTCACAAGTTAATTATGCAGGCTACACATTGCCCTCCCCCAGTGAGCTGGGTATTCAATTTACCAATCTTGAAAGGACGGAAGGCTGAGTCAACCTTGAGTCGCTACCTGGGATTGAACCCCAGGTCGTGAGCACAGTTTTGGCTGCAGTTCAGCAGTTTAACCACTGTGCCACTAGGTTTGGTGACAACACGGCTAGGCATCCAGGTTTGGCTCTGTTTTCGAATAATCTATGTCTCCTAAAACACGGCTGGAGAGCAAATCAGCCACCAAATATTTATATATTTATTTATTTATTTATTTATTTATTGGACTTGTATACCGCCCCATAGCGCTACAAGCACTCTCCGGGCGGTTTACAATTTTTAATTATACAGGCTACACATTGCCCCCCCAGCAAGCTGGGTACTCATTTTACCGACCTCGGAAGGATGGAAGGCTGAGTCAACCTTGAGCCGGCTACCTGGGATTTGAACCCCAGGTCGTGAGCACAGTTTTAGCTGCAGTACAGCGGTTTAACCACTGGGCCACGAGGTGCAGGGAGAGAAAAGCCCCCGAGCAGCGGTTTTCCCAGCCTTGGGAGGATGAAGGTTCTTGGACTGTCACTCCCAGATGCGTTCACTCAGACTGGCCAGGATTCTTCCTCCTCCAGGTCCCAGCCTCCTCCGTGGTTCACATTTCGCATCAATTCCCATCACTCACTCCCCACCCCTCCCCACCCTGAAACTCTCCTTCCCTGGAGAAATGGGTGCAGAAAGCTGTGATTTGGCAAACCGGGCGGTTCTTGAAATAAAGGGTCTTGTGATTCTCACAGAGGCTTCTGCGTGTGGTTTCTGCACCTCGAGATGGCACTTGGTGAGAGTCGTAGAGCGCCAGGTCCTCGGCAGGCGGCGGTGCTAGGCCCAAGCAACAGGTTTCATCCTGCAAGGTTTCCCTTGGCCATTCTTGGGGTTTGGGGCGCTCAGTTTCTCAACGAACACCCGGATGGGTGTTGCTCCCCGTTGAGGAAGGGACACATCGGGGCGAGCGGGAGGGGGCAAGGTTACCAGGAAGCGATGCAGCAGTAAATTCTTGCGGCAGAGAAGAGCATGACATCGATTCGAGGCTGAGTTTTTCCAGAGACGGTCGCCGGGCTTTCCAGCACGGCTTTGAGCACAACCGCCTGGAGCGGAATGTCCCAGCTTCCTCCGAAACCTTCCGTCAGCATCTCCCCGCCGGGATGAGCACCCGGCAGCCGAGCCGGCCGGCACTAAATTTAGCTGCCGATTTAATCCTCGAGGCAGCTTCGGCTTTGCTGCATCACTCCGGGTCAAGCCTGTCCTCTTCCCTTCCCTCTCTGGGGAGCTGAGCAGCTGCGCCGGCCTCTCCCCTTGGAGCCGTCCGGGGGGGGGGAGGATGAGGACGAGGGAGAGTTATTCTGGGTCGCACAAGGGGCTGGCGGTGGGACAGCTGGAAGCCGACTCATGGCCTGTCCACTGGCAGATAGATCAGGATATGGCTCGCCACAGGCGCAAGTTTGGATCAGGAGCCAAACGACAGCACCTGCTTGGCTTTCGACTCAGATAGGTCCAGCCTGTCTCTTTCTGAGCTGTCCTGCGCCTTTCTGGCACACCCCTTAGGGCATGCATTCTTTTTGGGGGGAGCCTGATCCTAAATAGCAAGGGATACGAGCAAGTCTTTGGAGTCCGATTCCCGAGTCCGAATCCAAGTCTTTGGATCTGAGACCCGAGTTTGAATCCAAGTCTTTGGTCCCAAGTGTATGATTCTTTGGTCCCAAGTCCCTATTAAAAATTATGTTTCCGGCCCCCTCCTCCAGGGAAAAAAAAGGAGGGGTGGGATCTGAGTCATGAGTCATTAGGAATAAAAACTTGAGCTGGGTCACTGCCATGGCTTAAATCTGATGGGACATTAAGCCACTCTCCAAACTGCTGGACTATGTCTGGATCATCTCTGAGCTTAGGAGCACACACCCCTATTTAATCTGGATATCAATCACAAAGTGTGAGAGTCACAGAGAATTAAAACCTAACATGTGTCTGTCTCCTTCTCTGGGAATGGATCGATCGCTCAGGGGTTTAGGCATCTGGCTGCGGGGCCAGAGGTTGGGAGTTTGAATCCCCCACGAGGCCCCCTTGACAGGGTTTGGACTGGGTGATCCACAGGGTCCCTTCCAGCTCTGCTGTTCTAAGATCATCATCATCATCATCATTAAATCCGCCCTTTAATGATGACCCAGAACTCCCAGCTGCTGGGATCCCTCTCCCGGTGCCACAGTGCCCCCTAGTGGTCAATTAACACCCAAGGCGCTCCGGCGGCTTATGAACTTGATGATCTACAGCAGTGGTTCAGGTGTTTTTGAACTGCAACTCCCAGAAACCCCAGCCAGCAGAGCTGATGGTGAAGGCTTCTGGGAGTTGCAGTCCAAAAACATCTGAGTAACAAAGGTTAAGAACCAGTGATCTACAGTACTCGTACTGTATATAGGGTCCCTTCCATCTCGTTAAGCGGCTGGATCCTGCTCTTTTCTTTTTATTATAACTATCAAAATAGAAAAAAACAAAAAACAAAAAATAATGAGTTTACATGCCATGATTGCATATCAAAAGCCCCTGAGATTGGTAGACATGACATACTCCACCTTTAAAACTAAATGTACGATTCTGTGCTTTGGATTTACTTGACCTTTTGAAGGACGTGCTCTGCTCATCCTCGATTTTATCTTATTCTTATCCCACATTTTTTAAAACTCTTTTAACCATCTGCTTTCCTGTTTACGCGTATTTTGACGGCATCCTTTCTGCACTCTTTGTTTAAAGAATTTCCTCG